CTCGATACTTTATTGCTCCATCACCATCAACTGTAAAATTTAGTCTTTTTCCTTTCTCTACTTTTTTAATTTACCCTAATCGAGTCATCATCGATTAATCGTCCACTCCTAATTTTAGACCTCAAATCCAACTCTATTATCAAATTCGATAGCCTACACTCATCTCCCTTCGACATCATTCTAGACTAAACTTCTATAACTCCCTCAAAATACCTATCTACACTACTTCTATTTTTGGTTATATTTTCATACTTAAGGTATCTACTATTATATTTCTTTCTCTAGGAGATAATAGAAGATAAGATAATAATCCTCTAACACTTTTAGTTATCTTCTTTGCCTCATGTTTAACTTTTTTTGAATGAAAAAGTACTTAAGCCTATTTTCATCAATACAAATCTCACATCTCACCCCATATATATAGTATCTCAAAATTTTTATTACAAATACCACTATTGCTAACTCCAAATTATGTATGGGCTAATTCCTCTCGTAGCCTTTCAACTATCTCGAGGCATATGTTATAGCCTTGCCTTCTTGCATTATAGCTACCCCCAATCCTACCTTACAACCATTTGTATACACCATGAAATTATCCTTATTAATTAAGAGAGCCAATACGAGTGAAGTAGTCAATCTTTGCTCTAACTTTTAGAAACTCGCATCACATTCATATTCCCACTCAAATGTGCCATTTTTCTTATTTAGCTTCATCAATGGAGTACCCACACAAATTTGAACCACCTTACATCTTACTCGGATGTACCCTTATCCCATTCTTCATCATCACATGACCTAAAAAGGTCATTTGATTCAATTAGAATGCACACTTCTTGAATTTTACATATAACTAGTACCTAGTCATTCTTAAAAAGCTCCAAGCCTCGACACATTTCTAGGTTGTCTCTAAATTCAAACCACCTTAATCTTACTTAGATTTACCCTTATCCCATCTTTTTCCACCACATGACCTAAAAAGGCGACCTTATCTAATTAGAATGCACACTTCTTGAACTTTTCATACAACCAATGCTCTTTCAATATTTGTAGATGATCTCGAGTGGTCTCGCTTGTTCTTCCCTACTCTTAGAGTAAACCAATTTATCATCAATGAAAACAATGATAAACCTATCTAGGTATTCATGTAACAATCAATTCATGAGGTTTATAAAATTTATAGAAACATTTCTTAGTCTAAAAGGCATCACTAGAAATTCATAGTGATCCTACACGGTTCAAAAAGCGATCTTATTCACTTCTTTCTTAATTCTCAACTGATGGCACCTTAATAGTAATGTAATCTTAGAGAAGATAGATATCTCCTGTAACTAATCAAACAAGTCATCAATACAAGAGAGGGGATACTTATTCGTAATTATTATCCAATTCAACTCTTGATAATTTATACACAACCTCAATGTCTTATTTTTTTCTTTATAAACGACGACCGGTATATACACCTTATAGTGAAGAACTTGACTTTATATACCTTGTTGTCTAGTAATATACGTATATGTACTTTTACTCTTTCAATTTTATTGGTGTTATTTTATAAGGAGCCTTAGATACTAGATTAATTCCTAACTCTAACTTTATCTCAAAATTAATCTTCTTCATAGTGGTAACCCCTTCATTCCTTTTGGAAATACATTTATAAACTCTATTACTATCTCGATATCCTTTAGCTTTTTCTTCATCTTCTTACTAGTATCTACTATATTAGCTAAATAACTCATGCACCCATTCTCTACAATTTCTTATGCTTTCATAGTCGACACTTATTGGTATCGACCTCACCTTCTCACTCATGCTAAACTCTAAAGGCTCTTTGCTAGGTGGATGGACTTTCACTCCACAATCAATTCTAGCTCTATAGTTTGACAAATAATTCATGTCTAGTATTATATTAAAATCTCTAATACTAAGCACCACTAAGCCTATTGTATTGACTTTTCTTCGATCATATTCTCACATCCCTTCACCAAGTCTCTAGACTATATTATATCTATAGATAGTAACGTAACTTATAATAGATTCTAACATTATAGGTTTTACAACCAATCTTCTTACTAAAGACCTTGATATAAAAGAATGTGTTTATCCTAAATCTTTCAAGTTATATGTTATAAGTTCAAAAGTTAAAAAGTTATTATAAGTTACTATTACATCATTCGATCGGTTAACTTTTAAGTTCATACATATACTCGAGCTACTTACTTTATGATCACCTCTCGTTTTTTAGGATATTGTTTGAACATGTTCCCTAACTTCTTACACCAATAATAGATGTTAGTACCTACTAAATAGTTTCTAAGGTGTATCTTTCCATACTTGGCACATATAGCTCTATTGGCTTGTTCCTTTTTAGTGCAACATCATTCCTTTTAGCTTTGTTAGTCTTGAATGAACCTCCAACCTTTACTAAGAAATTAAGCCCTAAACTTTTTGCTTGAATTTTCTATGCAATCTCTTTTCGGTCATCCTTGGCATACTAACCATATAATTATATATAAGACATATGAACCATGCTCTTAACTCGAAGAGTGAGTTCTTATAAGAACTTGTACGTATTTAGCTTGAGGTCTTCAACAATGAATGGGATAAACCGGCTCCTATGCTCAAACCGATGGACATACTTTACTACAATCATATCTCCCTACCTTAGATCAAGAAACTCTTATACGTTCTTTGATCTTACATCTTTCGTGAAATATTTAGCAAAGAAGATCTCTTTAAAGTGTGCCCAAGTTAAGTTAGTCACGTCCAAAAGAACCATAGCCACATCATACCGAGGCTTTTGCATTATGGACCAACATAAACACGATTTGCATCGCTCGATCGGAGAATCTCATCCAAATATGCTAAAAAAATTAATTATAGGGACTTAATGTATTCTTCAACAACTATAGGATCCGTGCCTCTCACAAAATCCTTTAGACTAAACTTCTAAAATTTCTCCATCATGTCGCCTCTTTGAGTTTGAGGCCTTTGGTTCCTTTACAACTATAGAGCCATCATCCGTCTTATATGCTCCTCTTGTCACTCTTGCTGGGGCTACATCATATCCAACATATAATGTAGTAAAACCTCATTTTCATCCTCTTCTTGGACACCATTATCCTTTCTAGCCTTGATGTCTCTCATTCTTTTTGGAGGCATTTTATCACATCATCATTCATTATTAGTTCAAATTCTAATATCCTATCGCATAATTATCATTATAACATTTAAATTACTATAAAACCTAAATATCATCATACATATCATATACATATTTTAATTCAATTTATAATGCATATAAAGCAAAAAACCAATTACTTGTTAATGTTGTTGTCAAGCCTTGAACTCATATGTACCATCATATCTCAAATATTCAATCATTATCTATTTCTATAAAATCAAATACCTTATTTCCTTTCCTAATTAAGTTTACGGATCTATTTTGATATGGTACAACGTTATAACGCTTATTGATTGAGACATCTTACTCGAAGGGTCACGACTAGATGGGTCGCTACTAAAATCTATATCCTTTCATTATCCTTAAACTTTATTCCTAATTTAATCTCATTCGTCATTAAACATATTAATGAAAATATGTCATCAATAATATAACCACATAATCACTTTATTAACATAGCGAAGCGTTTCGTTAAAATTTTATTCATACTCTATATGAACATCATTGGCATAATTCATCATTAAATTCAAAACACATCTTTCATCATCGTTTAACATTCATAAATAATATTAACCTACTATTCATACTCGAGTCACTAAGTAATAATTTCCAATATTTAGAAACTTAACATTATTACAATTAATATTCATAAATCTTAAACAATTATATATAAACTCATATTCATTCATTAAAACATAACTCATCCATCAATCTTTTAGAGCAAGTACATGAGTCACTGATCATCGAAGCGGCGTCAACATCCTCAATATTTGCATTGATCTACACTACAAAACAAACATGTGATACGAATATCTCAATAAGTACAACATGCATGACTTTACGTTAAAATTTTCATTACATGAATACTTTTAAAACTCTTTTTGGACTTGCTAAGAGATGTTAACCTAGTGCACCACAACCCTTAAGTTTGACTTTTCCTTGGTAGGTGAGTCAACTCCTTTGACCACTAGGCTAGTAGAGTCTAGCCTCAATGAAAATATGCAATCACATTAATTTCAACATTTAAGCCTTGACAATCAAAGTCAAACTCAACATCAAACCTTAATGGTTAAATTTGACCTTTAACATTAAAATCTCAAGAAACACATAACATTTTGTCATAAAATATTATTTATATACGTACCTTATTCATTTACTTAAAATATTTTATTTTATTACAATCAATATGTAAAACAAATGTATACATATGAACATAAACATTCACAACATACAATACAAGTAATTGTAATTCCTTATATAACTCTTGACATTTAATTTCATTAATTCTCGTTCCTTTTCGTAAGGGAGATGCAGCTTTCACTGGTCAAATAACTAATCAAACCACCGCTTGAAGATGGGAGAATTGAAGTTAAAACGGCTGAATATTTAAGAATAATGAGACTTTGCATTGCTCAGCAGGAAAAGAGAAAGCAAAACTAACAATACACGAGGTTTGGATAGCTCAAATATGTTGGTTTTGGTATCTTTCTCAAGGTGCAATTCAAGAATAGAATCATCATTCTCTCTCAAATGCCAAAAATTATTACTTAAAAATGCCAAAGGGATATTGGCCAACCCAACAAATAAAGCTATACTATAATGACAATAAAGTAACAAACAGAGTCAAAATTTACAGACGTTACTATGCAGTAAATGATGGTATATAATGCCTAACTATCAAGCGACCAGTAATCAAGGCAACCTCTTCATGATTCACAACCAGGTGGTTAAACTAAAAACCTTTCTGCTACGAGTGGTAATTCTGTCAAACTGTGAGTGGCTGAACTGGATTTTCTCCATCTCAATAGTGGTAAGTCTGTCAGACTGGAAGTTGCTCCGATTCATGGTCTTTTGGGTTCATAGACATAATACAAAACCAATGAGGGAGAAAGAAATAAGTGGCTAAAAATACAAGAACTCCGAGATCAGCCTCTTCACCAACTGCTGGTCGACGAGGATTCATCATGTATATCTGGCTTCCACACCATACACAATAGAGGCTCGCAATGATCAGGACAAGTTTCAGTGACTGATATGATTGTATTCTAGTAGACTTTAAAGGCCTCACTCTGCATGTCAAAACATTTTGATTAATACATGCATGTTAAGGGCCGAACAATACTTGATGAAAATCAAGATGCAAGGCTCAAAAAATAAAGACCTGTTAAGATAAATAAAGCCAACAATTAAGCACGTGCACAAGAATCCAACCACAAAAACAGCATCCGGATTGACTGGTGCTCGATTCTTCCACCAACCAGTGCTCAATATCCAAGAATACACTGATGAATGTCCATTTTCCTGTACATTTTGACAGCCAGATGTGGTCAACTCGTGAGACAAGTAATTCTGAAAAATAAATAAATGTGTGGCATCCAGAGGCATGAAGAAATCGAGAGGCGAAGAAAAGGAATTTCCAACAACAATTATCATTACTAGGCCTTCCACAAATGGAAAAGCTACTAATCATAACTCATCTTTTTGCCATAAAATTTCCCATATCATGCAAATTAAGTTCTTCTAAGAAGACTTCTCAAAAAAAAAAATAATAATAATCTTCTAAGTAGAGACTTCAACATAAAGAAGTCTAACCACAAGAGTCTTAAAAAATAATGAAGCCTCTCTGTTCCCAAACTTAACTTCAAAAGTTTTTTCAGGAAATTTTATTGTGTAAGCATAAAAATTAATAACATTTCCAGAGTTGAAATTTGTAAGGAGTCATTTAATGCACGACTGCCACAATATGAAACGGATCAGGCAGTTCATACTGTGGATTCCTTCCATTTATTATACAGGTTAATTGAAGAAAGGAATCATATTTGAGCCAACAACAGAACTGTATATAAGAGTACAATAACGTCCATGAGCCCAAATCATGCAGATGAAGTTAGGGTCTGTAGCCTACCCACAGGTTGGGGCATTGCCATCCACTAAAATTTTCAGGTCTAAGATGGAATTGCTAAATTTATGCACAGCATGCTTTGCCAATCTAAAAAGACACACGCTCTTACATCAGCTTATAACAACATGAGTAATTACAGTAGCATTTTGAAATGCCCTGGAAGTCATTTTCATCAGGAAATTGCCAATTTCACCACGACACAAGTTAGCTGTTGCCAGAAAGATGCACTTATTTAGCAATATGGCATTCCAATTCATTTCCTTCAATTGCCTTCACATGCTAGCGTTAGAAGACACAGAACATGACAATCATAGGAATGATGTTGGCTACTTCTGTTTATATGGTATGAAGTGAATCCTCATTTTACTAATTGAGATGTCATGTTATGTAACAAACAAGCAGTATGTCATGTGCATTGATAACTATTTGAGAATTGACAATACCATGTTATAGGGAGTAAAAACCACAGGATAATCATTCAAAAATTTCTTCTCCCTAGAAGTAAATACTCTTATCAAACCTCCACTCACACTCCTATCTCCTATTGAAGAAAACTTTTTCCTATAAGCATCTCTTTTCTCCAATTATCAAGGCCCAACTCATTGTCTATCTCAAAGGAAAGCGGAAATGAGAAATAAATGTGGCTGTTCGGGCTATGATTCTATGACTATTTATCTATTTGCTCATTTTGCTCTTTAGCAAACCAAAATTGCATTTTATTTCACAAATTAAGTCCCTAAATTTTGATAAATGTTTACCACAACCTTTGCTATGTCAAGTTACAACATCAATATATTTCCAGGATATCAAAAGACTTGCAATGTATCATTTTGGCAGTGCTTGTAAGAATTAAATAGTTCCAAAAAATGAAAAATAATCAAGTCTATTAATCAAAATCTCTAACATCACCAGCATCACACACAAAGAACAGAAATAATAGAAAAGAAAATGCAAAGCTAAGAATCATAACATATAAGCCACTAGATTTTACCTCAAACAAGTGATCTAGGAAAAAATGTGACAAGCATCCCGCAAACACCAACAAGAAGCATTGCCTCCTTGAAAGGGGCACCTGGAAAAAAATAAAAATTACAAAGAGATGACAAATATAACTACTGGTAAATTGCAAGAATGGAACATTAAAATTATAAATAGATTGGTAAACCAAATGAGGTGATTCCTAATTACTACAACAACAATTTCCAAGCTCAATGGAAATCAAACAACAAAAAGAACCAACCTCCAAGACTTCATTTCCATTTTCTCCCCCAAACAACACCAAAGTAACAGTTCTTGTACATTTCCAACAGCTTAACCCCATCAAACCAGATTTCAATTAGTCAGGTCAGATCATAATCATGACTCTTAAACCAAACCCGATTAACACAACCTTAAAGCAAAACAACCCAAATGATCAAATTCCTTAACTCAACTAAAGTAACCTTACTAAAAGCTCAAAAATCCAATAGTCCATTGACTTACCCCAGAAACTGAATCAAGAAGCTTCTTTTGCAGCAGAATTTTAGAGATCCAAGAGTAAAAAACACACAGAGGAAGACCCAAAATCAAGATATAGTAAAAAGGGTCATGGATATAGTCAGCTAGTGAAGAGCCTAAAGGCTGAAAGGAAGAACCCAGGACGGAACCAAGCCACTCGGAGAAGGAGCCGATGTCTGGACCAAAAAAGGCGTTGATGGTGTAAGTGAGAGTGTGATGAGGGCTGAACCGGCCGCTGGTTAACGAGGTAAGGGCCAGACCTGAACCCATCGCGTACATCAAGTGTGGTCCGGGGCCTGGCATCATCGACTATTGAGCTCTGAGCTACTAATGCTATTGCCCAATGATTGGGACGATTCTCTAAACTTGAAATTTTCCTGTGTAACAATTTAACTAGCTAGGTAGTGAGCTTTCTTTCTATTTATTTATTTATTTAGCAGGTAGCAACAACTAACAAGATATTAATGATGATTTTTGGACAATTAATGATGCCTACTCGAATTTGGTAATTGAGTAATAATATTTTTATTAATCCAAAATTGAAAATTAGCTTTGAAAAAATAAATATTTATCTGAATTAAAAAAAAAAAAATCTCATCTCATAAATTAAATTAATATGATTGGAAGGATTCTTTAAACTTGAAATATAACGGAGATGAAGCTGTTTTTAATAAATTTCCTCAGTTGGTTCTCCTCGAATCATCTTTGCCTTGTTAAATTATTCTTATCCTTGGTTCTTTCAAGGAAAATTGAAAAGGAGCTAGAAATTCTGGGATTGGTTCTATTCTTTTCTATATTGTGGACATTACATGTCTTGATTTTGATTTTTGTCTATGAAATTGAATAATTTAAGTTCAAGCAAATTAGTTGTATCCGACCTACCAAAAGGTACATTAGATTTATTCTGGTATGATAGTTTGAACTTTTGCCGGGTCCCTTCTGCTTTTCCAGGAGAATGCTGGTAGGCCATTTATTAAAGGGTTTGTTGGATTTTGATGAAGTTTTAAAAATTGCATGTTTGGGTTTCTGTAGGCTGAGAGTGTACATGAAAATTATTAAGAATTTAATTAATTTTTTTACATTAATTCATATTTTTTTTTAATATTTTTTAATATAAATTTAAGCTACCCAAAAAATAGATTGGATTGAAGATAAATCTTATCGAGCACAAGTTTTTTCTTGTATAAGATAGATACCGATATTCTACTAAAATGAGTGTCCATGTTATGTTTTTAGGATACATTATTAAGATTGGTTTGATGAAAACTAAAAGAATATCCAATTGTTATTTTATTTAACATTTGCTATGAAGTTAAATCATCTTAACTCAAAAGACTATATTTAAGTAAAGGTGACATAACGCGACCCTAACGATCAAAAATTATTTTTTATTCACCATAAATATCAATTTCATATTATTGTGAGCACATCCCTAACTTTTGATATCTAGTAAAAAAAAAACTATAAACTCTCTCTCTCTCTCTCTCTCAAAACTATTTCATTCACATACTAAACGTCACTTAAAACTCCATCTATTGGACTTTCATCATCCACTTGTCAACCAATTAATTTGCGTCTTACTAGCACTATTTGCTCATTCTTTCACAACTCTCATTACTAGCATCTATCCTACTTGGTTGGTTGATCGTTATTTTTATAAGTCACAACATTAGCTATTTAAATCTTTATCAATTTGTCGACCTATCATTTGATCAGCTTTTAAGAACCTCCTACATATTTTGACAATTCCACAAGGGAGTTAGTGATTGTAAAAAAACAATGGCTCATTTCAAGGCTACTAAGAAGAATACTAATCTTGTTACTAGCTCAATCCCTCGCAACAATGATGATACCTTACTTTATCCTAAGAAAAACTTGATCCGAATAAGTTGACAATGTCATTCTAGTATAATAGTTTGAACTTTTGCGAGGTCCCTTTCTCACTTTTCCGGAGAATGCTTGTTAGGCCATTTATTAAAGGGTTTGTTGGATTTTGATGAAGTTTTAAAAATTGCATGTTTGAGTGGTTTCTATTGGCTGAATTTATAAATAAAAATTATTAAGAATTTAATTATTTTTTTTACATTAATTCATGTTTTTTTTAATTTGAATCCAAGAAACACGACAAATAAATTAGATTGAAGATGGGTATTGTCTAGCACAAGGCTTTGGTTGTATAAGATAGATATTGGTATTCTACTATGATCGGTGTTCATGTTTTATTTTTCGGATGCATTAGTGAGATTAACTTAATGAAAACTAAAAGAAGATCTAATTATTATTTTATTTAACATTAGCTATGAAGTTAAGGCAGTTTAACTCAAAAGAACCAATTTTCTTCAATTTAAATATGACTATTTAAATAAAGATGATGTGTCATGACCCTACCAATCAAAGATTATTTTTTATTCACTATAAATATCAATTTCACATTATTGTGAGGGCGTCCTTAACTTTTGATATTTAGCAAAATAACCTCTAAACTCTCTTTCTCTCTCTCTTAAAGCTTTTTCATTCAAATACTAGACATATCTTAAAACTTCATTTATTGGACTTTGACCATCCACTTGTCAACCACTCGACTTGCGTCTTACTAGTTTATCCGCTCCTTCTTTCACAACTCACTACTTGCATATATCTTACTTGATTGGTTTATTGTTACTTTTATAAGTCACGAGCATTAGCTATTTAAATCTTTATTAGTTTGTAGACCTATCATTTGATCAATTTTTAAGAACCTCTTATATATTTTGACAATTCCGCTAGGTAGTTAGTGATTGTAAAAGAGCAATGGCTCATTTCAAGTCCATTAAGAAGAATACTAATCTTATTACTAGCTCAATCATTCACAACTATCATAACCTAAATTTTGAATTATATATTTTCTCTAATTTTATCCATTTTAGGTTTATATTTTTTTTTATCTTATTTTATTCATTTGTTTTTTTTTCTTATTTTTATTTTATTTTATTTTAGTACTTACTACAAAAAAGAATAAAGAATAAAAAAAATACAAGAAAAATATATAAAAATATAAAAATTGCATGTCATAATAAATTAGGGGTATAATTAAATAAAATCAAAAATAAATTGGAACAATTGAGGATACTTGTAATACCTAAAATTTTGTATGATAATATATTGTGTGTATATGTGTGAAAATGTGGTTTATTTGTATATTCAATTTAATATTTTTATGTGTTTAGAGAATGTGATGATTAGGTATGGAGTTTTAAGATATAATATATTTTTGAGTATTATAGATTGTATTTTTATAGATAGGAATGAGTCCTACAATCTTAGCCAAAGCTATTAGGAATTAAAGAATAATAATAATAATAAGTTTTAATAGCTTTTCAAAATGGAATGTTAGTGGCTATGAAAGGAGGGCAAAAGTTTTGAAACATATAGTAAATTAAAAAGGAGACATGAATGACTATAAAAGAAAAAAAAAATCGTAAAAGAAGAAGGTTAGTGTTCAATGAAAGAAAGCCACTTAATCGCTATAAAAGAAGAAGGTTAATGGTCTTTTTTTTTTTTTTAACTCATGCACTTAGAACTTTCGAATGTTTTGGCTCCCCATGCCTATATATCCGGTGTCATTCTCCTCATTTAGGAAAACCATTTCGTAAGCTTATACTTCAAAGAGAGAGAGAGAGAGAGAGAGAGAGAAGTGAAGTCAAAAGTATTTAAAAGAAGATTCAAATCTTGGTGATTAAATATTCAAGATAAGAAAATATTTAATTTAATTATTTATTTTTATATGATTTTAGGTCGAATTGAGTTGGAAATTTTATGAATTATGATTGATTATGTAAAAATTATATTATAGTATTAAAATCGTAAATTTTTTTATGATTAAGTGAATTTAAATAAGAATTAAAAAGGTTAAGTTAAAATTTAATATCATTAGATTATATGAATATAATTAAAGGGAATTGAATAAATTAGAGTAGAGTTGATAATTTAATCATGGTTTTTAACTAAAAAGAAATTATAAGAAAGGAATAGGAATTACTAACATTAAATGATTAGAGATAAAATAATAAAATTCAATTTCTTATATTATATGGTGTGTATGTTCTAAGTATTAAATCAAGTTAAGGTACCGATTTTAGAGAAAAGTTATGATAAATAGTGGTTTTAAACGAATTAAGTAAGTATAACTCACCTACACCATGAAAATAAATGCTATGTATTTTTATGTGATTGATGTGATGTGATGATCTTGAGGTGCATTCATATGCATGCATATATTTTACATGTTGATTGAAAGAAAATGTTTTAAGTAAACGAATGAGGTCATTTTTTAATGTATGTTCGGGTTTAAAGGCTGAGCTTGCCTATTTAGGCATCAATGTTGAGTTTCAAAAGTTGAGGTTTGGTCGTTAAATATTGAGGTTAATATTTTTATGCATAATTTTATTGAGGCTAGACCCTATTAACCGATGTTAGTATCTTCTAGTAGGCCTAAATGAGAAAAAAAATTTGAAGATATTCATGTATAAAAAGTTTTAATATAAAATCATACATGTTATACTTATTGAGATATTCATAACTCACATATGTTCTATGGTGTAGGTAATGATGCAAATGCCGAGGATGTTGATGCTTGCTCCAAGTGACGAGTGACTCATATGCCTACCTTTATATGTCCCTAATGATTAGATCATGCTTTAAATGAATATTTATTTTTAAAATAATAAATGTAATAATGTTAAACTTATGAACGTTCAAAAATTTTACTTAGAATTTGAGTATGAATATTGAAACAAGATTATTTAAGAATGTTAATTATTATGAGAGATGTTTTTATAAATGATCAAATTTTACAATAACGTTTCCGCTATATTAATGAGAAAATCTCATAGTTATATACTATTAGTGACATATTTTAAATTGACATCTTTAAAGATAAATAAGATTAAATTAGGAACTTAATTTTAATAAAACTAATGTATATAAGTTTTAGTATCGATCCGTTCCATCGTGACCCTTTAGGTAAGATATCTCGGTTGATGGGCATTATAGTGTGGTATCAAAACAAAATAGATTCTATGGAATTAATTAGAAAATAAAGCTATTGATTTTTTTTGAAATGAATAAATAAGTATTGAATGTTTGATGTATGATGACACATATGAGTTCGAGTCCCGACAATAACATCGCAAGTAATGCTAGATATGATGTAGCAACATCAACAATGACATGAGGAGCATATAAGATAGTTATTGGCTCTGCATCAACATAGGGATCAAAAGCCTAAAAATCAAATAGTCAACATAATGGAGAAATTTCAAAAGTTA